GGAGCACAGGCTCCGGACGCGCAGGCTCAGCGGCCATGGCCCACAGGCCCAGCCGCTCCACGGCATGTGGGATCTTCCCGGACCGGGGCATGAACCCGCGTCCCCTGCATCGGCAGGCGGACTCCCAACCACTGCGCCACCAGGGAAACCCAAGATGCCAGGTTCTCTACACTGAAGGAATATCCCATCCCCACCCTCCCTAAAGCAGTCCTTACCCTGTCCACCACCTTCCCGGGGGCAATGAGTAGCTCACGGGCCAGCGTGTTGATGTGCAGGGTGTACCGTGTGTGTGGGATCAGCAGCTGTAAGGGCCAGAGAAGGCAGAGCTGGGCGAAGTCTTGGTCTCTGTGGTCCCAGACCCGCCCCCGCCCATAGAGGAACCCAGTCCTGTCAGTCACACATGGAAAGAGATGACAGGGACAAGGGGGGCAGCCTGGGATAGGGATCAGGGCTTCAGGCCCAGTGATGGGGGCTAAGGTCCACCAGCATCCTGTTCTGTGACCTTGAGCATGTGCTTTCCTCTCTCTGGGCATCAGATCACTGGGCAAATGAGAGGGCTGATCTGGATAGCACTATGAATCCCTCCAGCTCTGGCCTCCTGTGATTTTCTAACCCCAGGCAGGCAAAGAACCGTGATAACCAGGGCCTGCGGGTCTGGCAATGTGAAATGGTCCCCTAGAGACCACGGCTGAGCGCCGGGCCCTGGGAGCTGTAGATTGTCAGAAAGAATCAGCCTGGATTGAAGAGGACAGAGTAGGGCCTGCATCCAGGACCCAGGAGACTGTCTAAGGAAGAATCAGAAAATGTGAGCAGCTGTGGACCCCTCAACTTCACAGAGGAGATGCTCCAGGTCCCCGGAGGAAATTAATCTGGGCCATCTGAAGGCTTAGCAGAGCCCACCTTAGAGACACGGGTCTCCCTCTCAGGGCTCCCCACCCTGCAGCTATCTGCAGAAAACCTGTTGGTCAAAGCCATGTTCACACTTTGGCATCTGTCAGCCCCAGGTCTCTCCTTTGCTAGGAGCTGGGCTTCTGTGATCGCTGTTGGCTTGAGCTCCCCTAAGAAGAGAATCTCTCTGGGGCATAGCCTGCTCTCACATGCGGTCCTCTCCCACGCGCCTGTCCCCATCACCTCACCCCAGCTCAGGGCCTGCTGGAAAGCAGCCTCTCAGGGGAATTGTGCAGGGAGATGCTGCTGAGGCAGAATGGGGGCTCAGCATCTCAGCCTGGAAGGACAGGGCCACGTGGGGACAGGCAGCATAGAACCCCGAAGGGCAGGCCAAGGTGCAGGAACTTGCAGGCTTGGGGTACAGTCTGGGCCATCTTGCTGGGCCACTGACCTTGAAGAGTGGGTGGCAGTGAGGCAGCTGGCGCAGCGTAGCCAGGGTGAAGACCTCGGTCACCAGGTGCACCTGTAACAGGTGTGTGAGGGCCTCGTGGATGGAGAACTCGGCATTGCGCACCCACGTCTTAGCCAGCAGCCAGTCCCACTTGTCGTCGCTGGGCAGAAAGATGGGGCTGTCGGGCCCAGGGGTCTGGCTGAGCTATAGGAGAGGCCAGTGGGGAGAGGCAGACTTGAGTGTCTGCCAACCGTTTAGTCAGACCTCTCCCTGCCCCTGCCCTGTCGCCTGCCCGGCTGCTGACCTGGATGGCGAGGGGCAGCAGGGGCCCACACCCTGGGCACTGGTATAGCAGGGTCATTGGGGCCGCGGAGAACTGAGGCCTCCTATTAATGACATTGGTGCGGATGCCAGAGAGGATGCCGTGATCCACCAGGAACAAGGACCCTTTCTGCGGGAGAGAGAAGGGGAGCCAGGGCTGCCATCTGGCTTTCTAAAGGCAGAAGGTGGGGAGTATGGGGGTGGGGAGAGGATTCAGGGCCAGGAGACTGTACACGGGAGAGGGTGTTCTTGGCACGTAGCACACAGTAGGTCCTTAACAAATGTGAGTGTTATTCCTCTCCAGTAGGGGATGGGCCCAAAGCACTGAGATGGGGGTGCACAGAGCCAGGACTCCTGTGCCCCTCACCTCCAGCTCAGCCTGCAGACTCGTCCCGGGGCCCAACACTGGGGCCACCATGGCATCAGTGACAGGGAAGTTCTTTGGGAGGTGGCGACAGCGGCGGATCAGGACCGGGTTGAGGCCATTCAGGAACTGGTAGGCAAAGAAGGCATCCTCCTGCCAGTGCTCAAACACATACTCTGCAGGGGGGCAGGGGAGATGGGACCAGTCACCCCAGCGCCCAGGGGTCTCCCCCTGAGCACCATTGTGGCGTTTCCCCTGCATCCATCCTGTGCTCCCCTCTCTTCTCATGCAGCACTTCCCAGGGTGACCTCCTCTGACCCCTTGGCTTCAGTTCACCAAACAGCAAACCTTAGTCCCCAGCCCACCAGTCCCACCCTCTACCTGCCATCTCCTACCCCATGACTCAAACACAGTATATCGGAGGCTGAACATGGGCTCCTGCTCTAGCCCAGTCCCCAGCCCATTGCCTGGCATCCCGGGAATGGCACCTTCATCCACTGGATTGCAGGTGGCAGAGCCCGGAGTCCTCTCGGCAGCTCCCCCCATCCTCCGCCCATCAAGTCCCACCGATTCTCCATCCTCAGTAGCTCTTGCTCCACACGTCCACTCCATCTCTGCTGTCACTGCCTCGCTGAGGATTCCATCCTCTGCTGACCACAGCCAGAGCCTCATAACTGGTCCTCCTGCTTCCACTCCTGTCCCCTAACAGCCCCCTCCCCACGGCACATCTGGCCACAGTACTCCCCAGCTGGCAGCTGGTTGAAGCTCCCACTGCACTTAGGAAAGGCCTGAGCTCCTGCCACGGCCTCCACAGTCCTGCACGGCCCAGGGCCCATGCACCCCTCCTGCTTCGCCTCCTGTCTTCCTTCCCTGGCTCAATCTCCTTTGGCCACAGCAGCATCTTTCCCCTCAAAGGTCTCCACTCCTTCCATCTTCAGGGCCTTCCACATGCACCGGACTGCCCCCCCGAACCTGAAGCACGCTCTGCCCTCACACACCACGCCTGGCGCTGTTGACACCTGCCCCACTTTGAGGTCTCAGCATAAAAGTCACTCTCTGTAGAGAGTTCCCTAGCTGGACTAGGCCAGGTCCCCCTTTTACACACTCTCACTGGAGCTGATGCACAGGTTTCATAAGTGAAACTCATTATTTGCCTTTGAGCCTAATGTCCACTTGTCTGCTCAACTGGGAGCCCTGCGGGGACAAGGACTGTGTCCACAGCCCCTAAGCGAGTGTCTCATGTGTAGTGGCTCAACAAGTGTCTGATGGATACAAGGCATTAGAAGGTCAGAGATGCCCCCACTACACATCCTTTTCTGTGTCTGAGGAGAAAGTAAGGTCTCGTGAGAGTCAGGGGCCTGCCCAGGGTCACACAGTGAACTGGCGCTTGGTTTTCTGAGATTCCTGACAGCCAGGAGAGCTGATACCCCAGGGAAGAGGTCTGGAGCCCCGGCTGGAGCCCCTCACCCACGGCTGGGTTCTTCAGGGAGTTGAACACACTTCTCATCTCCTCCAGGCTCTTCCAGAGCCCCTTGCGGTCCAGCAGCCCTTTGAGTTTCAGATCTGCCAACCTGCCAGAAGATGTGAAGGGTGGGGAGGAGGCAAGAGGCCCTGGGAGACCCGCCCGCGTTGGCTAAGCTTATCCCTCCTGGGGTCCTGAACCAGCCTCCGGGGGGGCCGAGGTAGTCACTGCCCCTGAGGTCATCCTCACCTTGTTGGAATAGGTGGGGAGCAGAGGCCGTGCCCTGGGCGGGGCTGTGTGACCCACATCCCTGATGGTGGGGGAGCTGAATGGGGGGGGGCAGAAGGCAGGGGTACCAGTACATCTGAGGCCCAGGTGGGCATCCTCACAATGATACGCCTCGCAGGTAGAAGGTGATGTTCTTTGCCAGAGAGTATTTGATGTTGAGGTCCAGGTTTTTTATGGTCTCCTCATTGAAGCAGTGAGGCCAGCCTGGGATGTAAGTCTTCCAGCTGGAGGGAGGAGCAGGGAGGCAGCCAGCAAGAAGCCTCAGGGAAACCACTAACTAGGGAGAGGGAGTGGCAGACCCCTTGGAGGCCCTGGTCAGGGCCAGCCCCCCTTCCACAAGCAGGGGTCTTCCTGGGCTCTGCCCTTCCCCTCCACCCTCAAGGCCGCAGGGAGAGCTGCCATGTTCCCACAGTCATGTTCTCCCCTGGTCAGTTGATTGGTCCAGGGTTGGGCACCTGGCCAGAGCAAGGCCAATCAGAATCCTTCCCAGGGAATTGGAGATTGGGGCTGGACCAGAGGTCATCTCTATCTGGATATCTGGGTTATAGCATGTAAACACCAGGACTGCGAGACTTCCCTGGTGGTGAAGAGTCCGTGCTTCCAATGCACGGGGCCCAGTTTCGATCCCTGGTCAGGGAACTAGACCCCATGTGCGTGCCGCAGCTAAGAGTTTTCCTGACGCAACTAAGAAGACTGCCTGCCGCAACTAAGACCGGGAGCAACCAAATAAATAAATAAATTTTAAAAAATAATTAAAAATAAAGGAGTTGCTATTAATAATAATAAAAAAAAAAGGCCATTTTCCACTGTGTGGACTGGGAACCAAAGAAAGCTGTTCTGCAGGGAGAGAGGAAAGTGAAGCCAGAAAGAGAAGCATCTAGGGGGCTCCAGAGACAGGGGGAGAGTCACCCTGGCTTCTGGCCTGTAAGATCTGGCTATGCTTCCAGCCCTCACTTCTGTGACCTGTTGACGCATTCCCATTTTTTCTGTCTGCTAGCTGGAGTCTGTTATTGTTCTTGCAACCACAAAATTCCTGACTAACACAGATGCATCACAGAGGGGAAGTTGTCCTGAGGGTGGGAACACAGAAAGGTGTCAGTTGCCTTTGGCAGGCATCCCGTGGAGAGACACTTCAGCCTCCAAAGCTTGCGGGAGCCCAGAAATGTACTCTGGCCTGGCCTAAAGAGATTTAGCCTCTTTAAATCCCTTTATCCAGCAAGCAACACAGCCTGAAGACCTTTAGGTGAAATGATAAAATCATGTCCCTGCAAAGCTGAGGACCCCCAGCCAGTCGTCCTCTCATTCCCTCCCTCATTCATTCTTTGGTTCATTCCGTCATTGCCTTTGGGTTTGAACAGGCAACTTCAGAGAACAATTGGCAGTTAAAGTACACCTGCCACCAGGTGGTGGCCAAACCCTGCTTCTCAAACTTTAATGCACAAAAACTTAGTTCCCCCAGGGATTTTGGTAAAATGCAGATTCTCATCAAGTAGGTTTGGGGTGGGTGGCTCAAGACCCTGCATTTCTAACAAGCTCCCAGGTGATGCCGACCCTGTGGACATGAGACCTCACTCTGAGTATTGAGGGCGTAGCCACTTGGATCAGAGGTAACTGAGGGACATTATGAACCTCACTACACACGTGTGCAGGGCTTTGCAGCTGACAAGCTGCATTCTCAACCATCTTCTCATTTGTTCTTCCTAATAACACAAATCAGCCTGGTATTCTTAGTTCCTTTTGCAGAAGAAAATAAGGATCAAAAAGGTTAACTAATTTGCTTAAGATTTCACAGCTCCTTTCGTCAGGGCCTAGGCTGGCCTTGCGTCTCCTGACTCCTGTGTCCTTGTTTTGCCAAGAAAGGAAGAAAGGCCACTCCACAGACACAGCTCCCTCCATCTGTTCCCTCACCTGGGGCTGATGCTGGCAGATTAGGCGCCATGGTTTTCTCCGGGATGTAATTCACAACACACGTGGAATCACCAGGAGCCAAATAAGCCTGCAGCTGCTGTGTCCCCAGAGACCTAAAGCGAAAGCCTGCAGCCCGCTCTTCAGACAGCAGCCCAGTTGGCCAGACCATGACCTTTCGAACATTTGCTCGCGCGTGTGGTCCCTGGCTTTCTGCCTTAGGAGTCCTCGCCAGCGACCCAGAAAGACTCCAGCAAGAGTGAGGCATTTAAAAGCAGTTTAAAATCAGTGGGTTTCAGGGTTTCCCTGGTGGCGCGAGAGGTTGAGAGTCCGCCTGCTGATGCAGGGGACGCGGGTTTGTGCCCTGGTCCAGGAAGATCCACATGCCGCGGAGCGACTGGCCTGTGAGCCATGGCCGCTGGGCCTGCGCGTCCGGAGCCTCTGCAACGGGAGAGGCCACAACAGTGAGAGGCCCGCTTATGGGGCGGGGGGGACTCTTATCACGGGGCTTCCCTGGTGGCAGTGGTTGAGAGTCCGCCTGCCGATGCAGGGGACACGGGTTCGTGCCCTGGTCTGGGAAGATCCCACATGCCGCGGAGCGGCTGGGCCCGTGAGCCATGGCCGCTGAGCCTGCGCGTCCGGAGCCTGTGCTCCGCAATGGGAGAGGCCACAACAGTGAGAGGCCTGCGTACCGCAAATAAAAAAAAAAAAGCAGTGGGTTTCAAACTTCAGTGGGCATGAGTCATCTGGAAGGCTTATTAAAACAATATTGCTAGCGGAACTTCCCTGGTGGCACAGTGGTTAAGACTCTGCCCTCCTAATGCGGCTTGGGTTTGATCCCCGGTCAGGCGCAGCCCCCAAAAAAAAACAACCAAAAAACAAAAAAAACCCCAATATTGCTAGCAACAAGGATTTACTGTTATTGCACAGGGAATTATCTATCCAGTGTCAACTACAATTTGGCACTTGCCATCCTTGTCTACAAGGACAAGGACTAAATCATGTGTTGCTGCAGTTGCTGACTTTCAACTTCCAAAGGAGTTCAGGGTGGTGAGCAGAAATGAGGCATTCTGTGCTCTGGGAAAAACGGGCAGAACAGGTTTTCAGATAGATATGATTTTATGAACCCAATTCTTGTATCTCCTCATATCCAGAAAAGCACTAAAATCCTTCATGGTGATGACTGCTCTTCGCGACTAGCAGAAACCTTCTGCAAAACAAAATATGTGCTCGATTGCAAGAGCTCCCCCTTCACCAAAATCACATATGTACTGACTTTCCCCACTACCTCTGTGGAGCAGTTTCTCAGAGCTCTCTGAAATGCCGTCTCCTGGGCTGTAGTCCTCATTTTGCCCCAAATAAAACTTAACCCATAACTGTCATGTTGCACATTTTTATTAAGCTGACACCAGTATGTTGTAATAACGTATAGTGGAATATAATCTGCAAATAAAAAACCTAGATCACGCTGCTGTACACCTGAAATGGACACAACATTGTAAATCAACTAGACTTCAGGTAAAAACACCAACACTGCTGCCCTTCACCCTCAATAACTGATTCAGTAGCTATGAGGTGGGTCTGAGAAACTGTATTTCTAATGAGTTCCTGGAGATTCTGTGATTGGAAAGGACAGAGGACCAGGCAGGGACTTCAGGCTGCGTCAACACCAGCGGAACGAGGCTGACCCTCATCCCCTCGGCAACCCGCCCCCC